TAATGGTAGACGTCAAAAGTTTTTATGATTTTGTTAGTTAAATAAATAGATATGAATTTTATATAATGAAAATGTTTTTGTTTTACTTTTGTCCTGTATCTTTCTTGGTATTCCTATTAATTTTGCCAAAACTCATTAACGTTAGTAAATGTATTCATTATAGATTTCATTTTGATCAAGTACATATGTTGGTTTAATTAAATTTATACTATGAGAACGTCAGATATAACGCAATTCTGGGTATAACACTTTGACTATTGTGTTGAATAATAATTAATTGACATAATAAATTAAATGAACAAATACTGGGAATGCATATCATCGTTTATAACATGTATTAATTTCGAGTCTGTAGACTTGATTCAAATGCCATTAAAATTAACCACTATATATTTTTATCCTGTTATTGAATTGGACTTTTGCCAAGACCTGTTGTATTTCTCTTCAAGGTAAGCAGAAAGAAAAAACCGGATTGTCTCGCGTACCGACATTGAACAAAACACACGTGTGCACAATATTGCTAATGTGACTAGCATTCTCCCAGTGTATCATTTTATGATCTAATTTCAGAACAACAAATTAGAAAATTGTTTGTATAATAGATGTCGTTTAATATGTAAAAAAGAGTAAAATAATTTTTTTTCAAAATTTTCATGATGTTCTATTATTTAGTACGAGATATTTTTTTTGTATTAGAAATTGAATGTTTTGTAATCTCGATAGTGTAAATGAGCTCTTGAATTTTATTGGTTTTTATTTCGATGCAAAGCTGAGAAGGTACTAATTTTACAATAATGTGTTTTTTTTTGTTTGTTACCACTTTTTCAGAGCTCTGAACCGTTTTCTTTTTAAGATACGTTAAAAGATCACAAATCGAAGACATTATCTTCAAAAATTGAAAAAGTTTCCCTTTAATTAAAATTCGGAAATAGGGTTTCTCCATTTGTTAATGGGGGAAATCTCAAAAAAAAAAAAAAATTACAAATTTGAAAATCGTTAATTTTTGACATTTTTTCAATTTTTTTTTACTTAACACTTTTTTGTTAATAGAGAAATAGAAACAATTTTTTTTGTACATTTTGAAAATTTTGTTGTTTGAATTCCAATAAACTGAATAAAAAATAAATGAAGAATATGTACATAAAATCAAAGCACTGATTAGAATCCGCTAAAATATCAAAATGCTATAATCAATATTTAGTATAAAACATTCATTGGTCGTACTAAAGATTACTTACAAATCATTAACTCAGCATTTTTTATGATTGTTAAATATAATTATTATTATAGCCATTTGATAATATCAATATATCTCGTTGTACCAAAAATATAGATAATAAACTAGATTGCTAACTGGTGATAATGGCTTGAGCCAATTAACAACCATTTCTTTTGAGACTAAACATTTTTTCTATGTTTCGTATACAAACATTTTTGTCGTCAACAATTTTTTGCTCTGATAATAAAATTATTTGTAGACGAAATAAAGAAAAAAAAATTTTGATCTCTGAAAGGATGTTAGCTATTTGGCTTCATCGGCAAACTCGGGTAATATTGGCCAGTTAGCTTACTAGTTAGTTATCTGTATCTGTGCGTTGCATTACGATATGATATCATGTTACAATATTTAATAAATATGTTTCTATTAGGTTAAAACGGTTAATTTTAAATGTCGTTTATCAGGTATATTATTTTGATATTGTCCTATAACTAAACTGAATGGCAGAAAGAACGATGCAGAATTGTAGTGTCTGAATAATATCTTATAATTATCCACTCTCGATCAGTGTTTTAGAATTCAATTGAGAATCCAAGAAATTTAGTTTGGCGTGTTGACCATTCGATAACGACATTTTGTCAGTGAACAAATTGCATTGGTGGCGCCTAACAGACAACTAATGTCCAATATCCGACGGGAGATCAGTCGAGACTAGTTAATGTTTTTTCAATCCGACGGGTGCCAACGTACCTCGTTTATATAGTGTAGCATATTTGAAACAACACATATTTTAATAATATTAAAAATAAATAAACATGTCTTTGTTTTATAATTTTACGGACAATTTTCTAACATAGAATAAGTATAATATGGCTAATAAAAATTTTATTGTTAAAAACTTATACCACAATAGTATGTTTCATGTATTAGTTTTAAAAGGGTTAAATTGATATCGATTTTAACTCCTTTCTGACCCTAAAACATTGTAATTTATTTTTAAATATTGATTTCGGATCTTAAAAGTGTTGAGTGGTAATAAAAAGTTAATTGAAATTCAGTAAACTATTAATAATTTAATTATCAAATAATAACCATGACGATTTTTTAATGGTCATAGTAATCTAAGAGTTACACAGCAAAAATGAAAATAAATATTATATGATAATAAATGTATTAATTACAATACTAGCCAAAAATTTAAAATAAAGTAGAATTGATATATTTGAATAAAACTGCAGCTTTTTTTTTAGTTGTAATTAATGTTCGTTAAGAGTAAGTGAATATTTATTCGTATGAAATATATAAAAAAGAACTATGAATGACAACATAGTTAAGTAGATTAAATGGTTTTTATTTAATTATACAAAAAGTATATAAATAAATTAACATACAACATAATTGTATTTAATAGTAAAACTAAATTATTTATAGTTATATACACTAATATCGATCGAATTCTACTTGATACATTTTTTTTTTTTTATTAAATTTAAGTTGTATCATAAATTATAAATAAGATAATTTTTATTATTAATTCAAATATTATCATAATATTTTTAGAAGTATATAAAGTTTTCTAAAAGAAAAATACTTATAATAAAAGATCTTACTATTTAATTTGTTTTAACATTTGATAATTGTTTAACTTAAGTTATTTATGTGATGTAAATATGATAGTACCATCTTTTTATTTAAATTTATATTAGCATTTTGTATTAAATTATAAATAACAATGAAATTTTTAAAAAAATATCATTGAAAATAAAAAAAATACGCTTTATGAAAACTTTTTAATACAATGTTATTAAATTACATTGTATTTAAAACACATTTTTAATACTTTTAATTGTTTACAGTATTTTCTATTTAGATTATTATCGATGTATTAATTTTAATTGTCCGTACTGATCAAAAATCAGGATGTGGCTAAACATTATTCAATTTCAAGTTTTTAATTGTTTCTATTAAAAAGAAATAATTTTTAATTAGTTACTTTTCACTTTTGAAAAAATATAAATAAAATAACATCAATAACTGATCGGTAATTAATATCTGAATTTTCAGATACTAATATCAATATTTTGTTACCTAGTAACAAAGATAATCTTTGTTACTAGGTAAAACACTTCTATGTTCAACATAATTAAAAAATTCTCTTGTCTAGTCAGTCAAATGTATTAAAATTTAGTTTAAAATAGACTTTTACTACTTTATTGTTTTCCCTCAGCATTATACAAGCTAAATTATTGTAATCATATTTCAATATCTTAACTCGGTAATCCATTTTCAATATTTATCGTATTTATGCATCAACTCATGTCATTTCCAGTATTTTATAATTTTTATACATCTACTTAACAAATTAATTTAATAGGTGTAATATGTTTTAATTGTATATTATAATGAAGATTGTCGATTTTAGTTGCTTTAATATTAACTCTAATAGAAATAATGACTCACCACGAACTAAAATAACTAAAATAATACCTTTTGTCACCTACAAATGTCTAAAAGTGAAACATTTATGTTTATGTAAATATAACAAGAGTACTTATCTAAAATAAATTCAATATTTGAAATAGGCTTAATAGTAAAATTTATGTGTATATAATCGTCCATAATAACATCTTAATTTAGTAATACAAATAAAAAAGATTCGGAGTATAGGGGTACAGTTCCAAGATGATTTTTATCATAAAGGTTTTCATTCTCTCCCATAGCAAAATTATACCATATAATTTTATTAAACAAAATTAATTGATGGTCTCACTTGAAATATTTTTAAACTTTTGCGTAATTGTGTAAAAGTTTATTATTATCAGTTAGGTTTTTAGCTTCAGCTACTTTAGAAAAGCTTTATTGTTCTTCGTAAATCACATAACCTTTTTAAATCCCAATCATAATCACGCATTTCCAGCAAATTTTTTTAAACAGAACGGTTTAACATATCTCCCTACGAATGGCCTTGTTAAATTCTATATTGCTGAACTAATACTGAATTTTAAAGTTATTGTTTTTATACAATGTACTAAATTTAACATTTTAGTTTGGTTTTTAAAATATATTCTGTAAAACAAATTAAATTTTAAAGTTTTTGAAATAAAAATAAACGTTTTTCTTACACATTTGATTTATATTAAAACTAATATGTTTTATTAAATTAATATATTATTGAAAGTATTATTAACAATTAATAATATTTTTATTATTATAATTATTATTACATAACGATTTTCGCTGCACTTTGTAAAAACACTCCGAGTTATAATTATTTTCATATTAAATCTTCCCTAATTTGTGTACTATTAAATCGCTCATATCTATTGCAATATTTTATTGTAATTAACTTTGTTTATGATGATAAGCCTGTATACATTGTTTTTCTACAATTCACGTGTAAATAGATAACCGCAATTAATATATTGCATTATGTTCTCATTTAAATTATATATTACCAGGTGTTTTTATTATTTCACAATTGTACTTTTGTTTTACTGTGGTTTTTAATTATTTAATGTCGATTAATTTTATTATCATACTCAAAATGAATTATGTATTATAACTTATGATACATGAATATTTATTAAATATAAACAATATTATTGCCAATATTTATATTTTTATTTTAATTTATAAAAAATTAGTGTTAAAAACTTATAAATTTTAATATTTTTAAAGTTTTTTAAAAGATAAAAAATGTATAAATGTATAAATTAAATTATATTATATTATATTAGACAATTATGAATTAATAAACAAAAAAATAGGGCAATTTTATAAGTCATAAAAATTACTTTAAACTATTGTAAAATATAAGCTCTAAAAAGTACCCTAAACCAATAAAGTTAAAATTCTTAACAGTTTTAATAGGTATTGTTTATAGTTTTAAGTTCTCTCTGTATTCAGTGTGACGTGTTTGTTGACTCGCACCCTGAAGTATTCTTGGTGGTTTGCTAATTTTGTGCGCCATTCCTCTGAAATTAATTAATAGTCATCATAAATAATTTCTATACATTTTCAATGTTTTAGATAATGTTTATTTTAGATATTATGATTTACCGTGTAGTTCGACGAGTGATGGATATTCACCTCCATATTCCTTAGGTAAATATTTTAAAGGAACGTTTTCAATTAGTGAATCTAAATTGCGATGAACAACTATCTGTGTATATCCAATTAAATTAAATTACGTAAAAAATGTGTATGTATCAATAAAATGTTTTATATCTTACTCTATTACGGATTTTTTGTTTTAAAAAGGGCTTAAATAGAGTCAAAGCTACACTCAAAATTTTTGGTGGATTAATGATGTTTATTTGTGCTACTCTCTCTGGATATGCTTTCTATTAAAATTAATTAAAAATGTATATAAATTTATAGAGGACCAATTATTTTAAGAAATATTTACCCAGGCATAGAGGAAAAATCTTCGCATTGCTCTCAAAGGATATTTGGCCAGATGACCCAACTGTAACATTTCTAGATCAACGACCACTACAATTTTGGTAAAATCGTGTCCCATAGATAGATAATAATCAGCAATGCATGTAAGCATCATTGCCATTCCCGTTGGATTGTATTCTGACGTTAGTGTGTTGGCTCTGTGCATGAATACTCCAACTTTAAATCCATTTTCCATAGTAGTAGGCATCATAGCTACAATTCTGTAATTATATAACGTATTATATTTTTTGGCGGTTAAACATTTTTTTTGTCACCACCATGGATGTAGCTTAAAAAATTTTTCTGTATAGGCTATGGTTCCATACCCTAATAATAATTTTGGATAATAGACCAGATGGGAAGTTTTTTTTATCGTATATCTTCTTCTCTCTCTCACAATACCCAAAAATCGAATCATTTGTGGTGGCTACAAATGTTTCTACGGGTACTGAAGCCCCCATACAAACTATGCTAATGGTTATCACTTACGTGGTTTCAAATGCTTGTATCATTTCTTTTCTTGAAAATGGATCTCGGTCAGCCACCATTACTTCCGGAATGTGACTATTTAATTGAAAATAAGTTGCCAAGTTTTCTTTTGCTCTTTCTACATCATTCTTATTCATAATCAAGTAATTTTCTAGCCACAAATCCGTGTCAACTGGAATGTTTAATTTTTCATTAAACGCAACATTTCTTTTATGAGGTGTTAAAAAATTTAATATAATTATCAATAATATAACATTAATATAAAAAACGTTTTGTCTGTTCGATGTTTTTATGATAAGCATTTAAAAAACATGCTGATTAGTAATTGCTAATGAAGTAAATTGTTAATTTAATAATTTACGAAAAAAAAAAATGATAATGGTTAGGATAGGTCAACCCGGTGGCCGTATTATAACTAATTGACCTATAATTTCTTAGGAGTGAAATTTTTTAAGCTTCGAAATTATTTTTCTTATAATGTATAATGTTATTTTACTCACCTCCTTCCAATTTATCAGGTAATTCTGGTTGTTCTTTTAACCATTTACTGAGTCTACCGACATCCCGCTTGACACTTTTTTCATTCATACCAAGTTCTCGTCTGACTATCATCATGCTTTCAGACAAACCATTCTCGGGTTGTTTGTAATTGTATTTTGACATCCCAAAAAAATATTTTATAGATTAAATTTAATTAGATTTAATTAGATTTTATAGATTATTTTGTTGTAAAAATCTTTAAGAAGTTAACTCAGTAAACGTTTATAAAGCCAGTCAATCCTGTTGCAGTGTATAAGGATAAATACTTTATATTCTCATCTTCAACCTAGCCTGACTGTATCATGTTTTATTAAATATGTTAGAAAATGAGTATCATGTTTTTGAGTTAACAGTATAGTTTTGATTTTATCACGAAGTATTACATAATATAATATACCTTCGTTAACGTTAAAAAACTGAGAATACGCGGTCCTTCTAGCAACTAGTTAGCAAAAACCACTTTCTCCACTGTTATGTTTCGTTAATAAGTTGCCAAACTAGCGTTATTTTTCTGTCAAATAAGACGCCAGTATTCCTACTTCCTCGGTGTATAGTATAAAGAAATAGTTTTTAACTATTTTGGTATTAGTTATATGAAATGTTTCTAATTAGCATTATGATTATATTTTATTGAAATTCATAATTTTTTTATAAGTTTCTGCTTTAATGGCAATTTTATTAACATTTATTGTAAAATTCTTAGTAATAAATCAAATACATGATTTATAAAATAAGCGTTTTTTTCTTTAGTTTTTATTATTTTTAATGAGATAGATAGATACGATAACTCATAGTACTTTGAACATCACGCAAAAAAGTTGTATTATCATTTTTTAAGTAAAAATATTTATTTTTAATTTCATGTTATTTTTAGTATTTAAAAAATAAGTAGTAATACTTATGTTGTTAAAAAAAACTGATTATTTTTTGTAAATTAAGTCCATGAGAATTTAAAATCCGGAACTAAAATTACATTTAAAGAAGTTGTTATCCTTTATTTTATCGGAAATATAATAATAAATGAAATTACTTCCACGGTCATATAAATTATGCTTGGTACATTTAATAAAGGAATAGATCATTAGTTAAATAAATAAATAACTTACATATACACGTTACTTATAATCTTTAAAGCATATATGTGTTACCGAAGATTTTTAATAGTAGTGGTTAAAATGTTTACAGGTAATCTTAGATGGTTGTTAAATTATATTTTTCAGGTAGAATTTTATTATAAAACTATAAATTCTAATGATATTCTTACAAATTTTTTTTATATACAATACACCTAATAACAAAATTGTCACTTGGCTTGAAAAAGCTACGTTCAAATTCAATTCAAGTAGTGTACTTACCTGTTGTTGCTGCGAGGCTTTCGACTTGGAGTCTGGTTGAAGTATACTGATAGACTAGTCACGAATAGATCACTAAAACTCTTTACAATTATTATTTTTATTGGCAAATTACATTTATGTATATTGTGGCTAAAACAACTGTATATTACAAAATGTAAATTCTATATTTACATTAAACGTTGCTTACCGCAAAGAAAATGTTCAGGATGTGTAGGAGGGGAATACCGGATTGAACGGAAAAACATAAGTAATATAAAAAACTCATTTTAATTGTGAGGTAAAGACAGTAAAATAAAATAAGTCACGATAAATTTATTATGCCATAAAGACTTGTTGTTGTGAATTATGTTGAAAACGAAATAGAAAGGTCAAATAACTTTGTTTTTTGTTTTATAATTGAAACGACTATCTAAAAATATCACATAAAAATATTTTTTTAATTGTTTATACTTATTTATGGTACATTGAAAACTGAATAATATTACCAAGTTGGCATAATATCACTAAGTCTTACAAAACATTAAAACATAACTAGGTATATATCACGTACAATCTTGTGTCGGTTAAACTGGCTTAGTTCATAGGAATAATGTTAATGATAATTATTATTAATGAAACGAAATTATTTAATGAGTAATGCAATAATTTTAATGCGATTAAAATGTGAAAAAATTGAGTCTATCGCATTTTTAGATAGTCCTATTATACTAGGATTAATAACAAGATTGTTTTTCGTAGAGAAAAACAAATTCAAACTATTTCCTTGTTCTTATTATTTTAATTAACAACTAATTTCTTAACGTAACTTTATAATTGATTAAAAAAAAAATTAACATATTTTTCTAATTGTTTATTATATAACAAAATAAAATAAAACTGACTGATATTTAAACATATTCACTTATAATTATTAAATAAAATATGAAAATGGACTAGTTCTAAATTGAATAATGAAAATTAATTGACTAATGTTTGATATCTAGTCAAAACTAACAATTTTTGTATACAATACTGTTAGCCAAATTTAATTTAACAAAATTGTGATATTGGATGAAAATATGACATTCAAATATTGTATTATATTAAAGTTTTATATAAACAATCAATAATATGAACATAAATAATATATAAGATAAAATGTAAATTATTCAACTATTTATCACTAATGATGACCTGAACCCGCTGTTGAAGAGGAGTTTGCTTTATGAAATACTTTCATACTTGTTGAGTGACTGTTAATAGATTATTTTTATTTACTTGTATTCAATGAATTGTGTGTAGTAACACGTGTTCTTAGGTATGCTTGATGCTCTTTAATTTTCTGCCAAGTATGCTCTGAAATTTAAACAATACGTAAATTTCTTTAGTAAATACGGTAAACTTGTATTTTTTGTCTAATAATTTGTGAAACTATTCCAAAATTATTACCATGTAATTCCTGTGTTGATGGATATTCACCTCCATAATCTTTAGGCAAGTATTTTAATGGAATAGTTTCTATCAAAGATTCTAAATTGCGATGTACGACGATCTAAAAATAAAACATATTAATGTATTAAATTAAGAATTACTTGTTGCAGCTTATTTCAATATTAAATAACTAAATTTTACTCTTTTTCGCATCTTGGCTTTTAAAAATGGTTTAAAGAAGCTCAATATGATGTTTAAGATACTTGGTGGATTAATGATATGGACTTTTGCTATCCGTTCGGGATATGCTTTCTAGAAGTGTATAAATAATATGAGAGTATATGACAAATTGTAGGTGAGAATTATAACGAAACTTACCCAAGCATAAAGGAAAAATCTACGCATTAGTCCCAGAGGGTATCTGGCTAGGTATCCCAATCGGACCGTACTCAAATCGACAATGCCTATTATTCGAGTATTATTATGTCCCATAGCTAACCATAGATCGCCTATACTTGTAAAGATCATAGCCAATCCTAATGGACTGTAATCACAAGGTTGTGCGCCGGCATTATGTTTGAACAATACTACTCTATCTCCGCTTTCCATTATATTAGGTAAAATCGCCAAAGTCCTGAGAACATAACGTTATAATTAATAAAATGATCTATTTTTTACTCTAATTACTTACGTGGATTCATGTGTTTGGCACATTTCTTTAGAGGTAAAGGGATCTCGATCATCAGTTGTTAAATCAGGTGCTAATTCTTTTAATCGGAAATAATATGGTAAATTTTCTTTTACTCTAGCTTTGCAATTTTTGTTCATAATCAGATAATTTTCCAGCCACCAAGCTGTATCAACTGTAATAATAAAAATTTGAAATTGTATTTATGTAATTAAAATTTTTAAGGTGTTTTACGATAGTCTTGCATTGTATAGTATACGAAGTCGTCCAGCATGTTCTGACATAACATAATATTAGTCCTATAACTTTTGATTTAATTAATATTTTGTAATTCTCATTTTTTTAATAATTGTTGTTATACTATATTTTTAATATATTTTCTTAAAAAAAAAAAATTATTTAATATTCAAAAAACATTTCATGACTTAATAACTAAAAATTTTAATTTGAAGTGTTAATTAACGGTATCAAGATTTGGTCTATGTCACGAGGAAAAAGACAGATGAGATCTTATGACTGCATAGTTGATATTACTATTTGTTTTTCTTTTTTCATTTCAATTTTAGGAGATCATTCAAGTGATAATAATTTTCATGGAGAAAATTCAATACCTATAACCAGTATTTAGTGTGAAAAGATTGCATTATTTTATAAGTAGTTAAATTTTCTTTTAATCTGCTCTAATATGATCCTACCACTAAAATGTAATCAATGATATGTTTTCAACTCAGTAAACTATTAAATTTACTTAATGTGTAAAAAAAACAATCGTAAATGTATCTAAAGGTCATTATTTTAATTAAATAAATAAAAATTAATTAAATCTGCTCTACGAAATGGCTATTTTGATTTTTTTTTTTTTTAATAAAAGAAATATTATAAATTATGATGTTATTATAGGCCAAATGTACAACAATTATTAAAAAAAATATATTACAAAGTATTAACTTGACCAAAATCTATAGGACTTGTTAAATTAACATACTGGACCATTTCGTATACTATACCCTAATGATCATTTTTAGTACATACCTCCTTCTAATCTATCTGGTAGGTCGGGTTGCTCCTTCAACCATTCCATAAGTTCTTTGACATCCCGTTTGATGGACTCTTCGGTCATACCCAATAAGCGTCTGACTGTCAACATTTCTTCAGATAAAGGACCCTCCGGCCTTTTGTAACTATGTTCCAACATCCTGAACAAATAATGTTTTATATTAGTTATTACACACACAAATGAAAAAAAAAACGAAGAAAATTCTAAGTTACGATTGATAATGTGTAATAGAAGAACGGAAACGATACCTATTTAAAAAAAATTAAATTTTATTTAAGCAAAAAAATAAATATTTCTTCTTAGATACAGAAGAACAGCTGATAAGACGCGATGTTGTAGACTTGCAGTAGTTCTAATGACTGTTGTTGCGTTTATGGTGACAAATTCGTCGGTCGTTGTACTATTTGTTTTGTATACCAGCGCAATTGTATTAGGATAATTATTTAAACATTTGTGTTTAGGTTAATTTTTAATTATTATTATTTAAACGCGATGACACGCACACGCTCGAAACGGTTGTTTTATTCCTGTAATACAATCGTATGCCAAAACGCGCATACCTTTTGGCGTTGTTTATTTAATCACTTAAAAATCTGGCCAACAGTTTTACGCACTTGAGTCAGTTTTGAACCGCAGTCGAATGTGTCGACATCAGAATACGACTGAACACTGCCCGTCGATGTGTTTCCGTCGACCTATGAATATACGTACTGATATTATTCGTTAAAGGTTGATTAATAATCATGTAATTCTCATGCGTCTTCATTTATTTCCTTTATATTGTACGCTGAACTGCCGTATGTAATGCTGCATTATTATAGAACGAATCCTTCAAGTGGTTCGTAAACATAATTATAAATCCAGTTTTGTTACCTTGATCGATACAGTCCTTTTGATGATCGGATTTGCATTACAATTATTTTTTGCATAATTACATGGTCAATAACACGACGTTTTATGATAGGAACTGTAAACATGACATAAAGCTAGTTTTATGAGTTTTGGGGGATGTGAAAGAGTGCCCTTCAATTTCCTGTAAATGAACAAATATTGAAAGGTGTATTTTTATTTTCGAATAAAAATGGGGATTGTTATTACTGTGTATCTCGTGTCATATTGAATATGCTACCTGTAAAAGCTATTATAATAATAAGTACATAATGCTATATCATCAAAGAAATCTAAAAAAAAATATTCAAGTAATAGTATTCAAATTAATTGAATTTGAATTGTTTAATTTTAAGGCAAATTTTATTTGTAATATAGAAAAACCATTAGCAAAAGCCTTAGTAAGTATACTTGCTAAATAACCACTAAAGTTATAATTTTCAACAAAGCTTATTTATTAACAGCGATTTGATTTACTGTTATCTGGTTATTTAATATATTCATTATGTTGCAATTAATAGCATTTTTAAAGATTTTAATTATTGGAATTAGGATAAAGTGTGGTAATTGTAAATGCACTTTTTAGCTTCGATGCGAAGCTGAGAAGGTATTGGTTTTACTATGATGTGTTTTTTTTTTTTTTTTTTTTTTTTTT